GAGCATGTTAACTCTTAAACCAGGGTTCCCCAACTGGCTGGCTGAATTTGGCCTGTCGGTGGTTTTATTTGGCCCCCAAGTTTTCTGAGCCAATAAAAATAAAAACGTTAAAGAGTGTTGGACATGAAAGACTAAAAACACCAGGAAATCAGCTCCAAGTTATTTTAATTTAGGAAATCTGTTCCCAAGTATTCCCATCATAATAGAAAGATGTGATTGTATACAAATGTAAGCAAGGTTTGACATTCTTATGTTTTAGTCAACTATTATATCTGTTTGGGCTTCTTGCAGTCAATTTGCAGTCTACAAATTATTTGTAATTATGTTTCGGCCCCCCGACCATCCGCTCAAGAAAACAATCGACCCACGACTGAATCTAGTTGATGATCCCTGTCTTAAACAATTTCAGGGTGTCTGGAAGCTGCTGAATTTATGGCTATAGCTGTTGTTTTATCCTGTCTGTCAGGGGAACCCTTCTACCAGACCCAGTTCCGCATGTCCACTGTTTGTTGTAAGGTTCCTATGCTTCCCATTGGCTGAGAGACATTTACCTCACTCATTCAGTTACAGACCTGATGGGAGGGAAGCCATTTTGAATATGATTCCCATAACAAATACAGTTTCACATCTGTAAAACAGTTATTGTTCTTCTGGGGCACCGCAATTAAAAACAGAGCAAACGCACAGTTGGGATTTGGGAAGACTGGGGTCAGTGTTGGCTTGCCCTCGGCATGGCCAGGGTTTGTTATGGGATGCTGGGCACTCCCATATAGAGGATCAGGACACGCCCATAGGCACTAAGATATCGGTGGTGTTCCTGCCTGACTACATTGCAGACTTTGCATTGCATCAACCAATGGTTGTGTGCCACGTCATCGACTGGCAGCAGGCAGGTTGCTATATCATATAATGTGGTTAGCTGATATGTTAAACATCTATCCAGGCGTTGTGAGAACTGGCAGGTGTCTGCAATGTAGTCAGGAACGCCACTATCAACATGATGAGTATTATTGACAAGGTTTCAACCATTGCCTGGTCTTCATCTCTCTACATTAGATTTGTCTTTGATTTTTCTACCCACCACCTGCGAAAGAGGCCTTATGCACGTCACTAAAGGCTTATAATCTCTACCATCCCATAGTTTCTGGTCTCTGTCATGTATATTGCTATGATAATCATGACATGGTCTGGTGTCCTGTTCATCTATAGGTGACAGCAGACGTGCCCTGATGTTGAACAGCCAATTGGCCCCCAGGAGACACAGGACAGAATTCATGTTGATGTGAGTTGTGTTGACTTAAAGCAGTTTCACGTTTCTATATGTTACTGTAATGTATTGCACAGCACAGAACTGCATCTTATGGGAAGTTACTGACAGTATATGGCCATAATACAGTAGAATGAAAGGAAGTGTAGAATGGATGGAAGTGTGGCCACTAGCTCAAATCTAATCTAACCCTGAAACCTAATAGTTTATGAATTTGCTCGTCAACTATATACCTATTTTTGTCCATTAAGCGTCTAGTGGCTCTTTATCTTATGAAAGGAAGAGGCATAAACATGTTTGGTAAAAGTGCAATCAGACATGGGTCAAGTACAAGACAATTAGTGCAGTGAAGAAGCCCATAATGTCTTTGGAAGGACTCCATGCAACATGTTTTGATCAATTACAGTCTATCTGCTTTCTCCACCACCCTGTTGAGATTTCTCATGTTGAGGTTGGTTGCTCTCACACTCTCTGTGTTGATATCCCATTCTCTGCATATTTGCTTTAGCCACTGCATTGCTTGTTCAATCTTAATAATGTCAAATACCATGTATGTTTGTGGTTTTATGATAGAAGCTGGCTCAGCTAGATTATATCCTGGGAAGTCTACTTTATGCCCATCACAATATATGTGTGTGTGTGTGTGCGTGCGCGTCTGTCCACATGCGTGCGTGCAGTTACGTGTGCCGTTATGTGTACGTGTGTGTGTGTGCGCGCACTCATGTACTGTTACCAACAAGAAGATCTGGGATTATTTTGCTTGTTTGAACTTGAACTCATTGTTAACAGCCTTGGGCCCAAGTTCGTTAGGGATTGTTTACCCAATTATACTTGTGTAAACTTGGAAAGCAGTGGCCTCTACCTTTCAGTAGCATCTGTGTGCTAATAGGTGTCATAATATGACCTCTGAACTCTGTCACAAATCTGAATGTGAAAACCCTCCTGCTTACATAAATGATTTTAGCTTGTTCTTAGATGACATGTAGTTTAATAACACACACACACACACACACACACACACACACACACTGCCTGAGACACTGACCTATGTGCGTGTTGTTTTGCACACATTCACGGTCTCATTGATGGTCCAAAGGAAATGGAGTCATGCACTTATCTTTGAGGCCAAAATGTGGGTCTCAATAACTGTTAATCCATTTAATTCCTTTTCAGAATGTATTGCTTACATTAATATTCTATAGGGTGGATATAACGCAAGCACATTTAATTTATAATGAAAAACATCTGTAATTTTAAGCCTTTTACAGATATACCGGAACATAATAGTTTAGAACTGATATGCCATATTTATGTTATGCTGATGTAACATTTCATGACATGATTGAATAACTTGCATCTTCTCACAGAGAAGAAATTGCATAGGTCACAAAATTATGACAATGACAACACTGCGGTGGGTCACTGATAATCTGATCAACTTTCAAAACTGGCACCAGTTATAGAAATACATATACAGAGTTTGGCTAACTATCCTGCATGTTGGCACAACTCATTCCATGTTGGCACAACTCATTACATGTTGGCACAACTCCTTCCATGTTGGCACAACTCATTCCATGACCAAGGCATGCTAAAAAGCATTCTAATTTGCAATTTGTCATACTTCTCACCTGAAGGACAAACACATGGATAATTTTTATTACACACATATTATTGTACTATAACTCTCTAAAGCTATTCTGTGATGCAAAACAGTCAAATGAAGTGTATCTCTCTGAACAGCAAAGCTTCTACAGACACAGGTGTTTGTGAGAGCTGATTTTTCCTTGGTGTTATCATGGCAATCATGGCACATTATTTCAGGCCCCATGCTACATTCCTTTCAATTAATCATAATAACGCAATTATTTTAGCTTACTGGAGACCTGGGCTTTAAATACAAAGTTGACTCAATTGTTGAAAGAAGCTAGTGATTAAACTGTTGAGCTATAGTGTACAGTCATTGGCCTTTAGGCCGTGGAGACAGCCTTCCACCAACCAAATAAGTCCCTTAGGAGAACAGAAGCTGTCTACCTCAGAGAAGGCATCTTAGGCAGTCTGAAGACAGTCCCTTCAATGTACACTACCAGTCAAAAGTTTTAGAACACCAACTCATTCAAGGGTTTTTATTTATTTTTACAATTTTCTACATTGTAGAATAATAGTGAAGACATCACAACTATGAAATAACACATATGGAATCATGTAGTAACCAAAAAAGTGTTAAACAAATCAAAATATATTTTATATTTGAGATTCTTCACATAGCCACCCTTTGCCTTGATGACAGCTTTGCACACTCTTGGCATTCTCTCAACCAGCTTCACCTGGAATGCTATTCCAACAGTCTTGAAGGAGTTCCCACATATGCTGAGCACTTGTTGGATGCTTTTCCTTCACTCTGCGGTCCGACTCATCCCAAACCATATCAATTTGGTTGAGGGCGGGGGATTGTAGTGGCCAGGTCATCTGATGCAGCACTCCATCACTCCCCTTCTTGGTAAAATAGCCCTTACACAGCCTGGAGGTGTGTTGGGTCATTGTCCTGTTGAAAAACAAATGAGAGTCCCACTAAGCCCAAACCAGATAGGATGGCGTATTGCTGCAGAATGCTGTGGTAGCCATGCTGGTTAAGTGTGCCTTGAATTCTAAATAGATCACAGACAGTGTCACCAGCAAAGCACCCCCACACTATAACACCTCCTCCTCCATGCTTTACGGTGGGAAATACACATGCGGAGATAATCCGTTCACCCACACCACGTCTCACAAAGACACGGCGGTTGGAACCAAAAATCTCCAATCTGGACTCCAGACCAAAGGACACATTTTCACTGGTCTAATGTCCATTGCTCGTTTTTCTTGGCCCAAGCAAGTCTCTTCTTATTATTGGTGTCCTTTAGTAGTGGTTTCTTTGCAGCAAATCGACCATGAAGGCCTGATTCACACAGTCTCCTCTGAACAGTTGATGTTGAGATCTGTCTGTTACTTGAACTCTGTGAAGCATTTATTTGGTCTGCAATTTCTGAGGCTGGTAACTCTAATGAACTTATCCTCTGCAGTATAGGTAACTCTGGGTCTTCCATTCCTGTGGCGGTCCTCATGAGAGTTTCATAATAGTGCTTGATGTTTTTTGCGACTGCACTTGAAGAAACTTTCAAAGTTCTTGAAATTTTCCGGATTGACTGACCTTCATGTCTTAAAGTAATGATGGACTGTCGTTTTGTCTTTGCTTATTTGAGCTGTTCTTGCCATAATATGGACTTGGTCTTTTACCAAATAGGGCTATCTTCTGTATACCCCCCTACCTTATCACAACACAACTGATTGGCTCAAACGTATTAACAAGGCACACCTGTTAATTGAAATGCATTCCAGGTGACTACCTCATGAAGCTAGTTGAAAAGCAAAGCTGTCATCAAGGCAAAGGGTGACTATTTGAAGAATCTCAAATATAAAATATATTTTGATTTGTTGAACACTTTTTTGGTTACTACATGATTCCATATGTGTTATTTCATAGTTTTGATGTCTTCACTATTATTCTACAATGTAGAAAATAGTAAAAATAAAGAAAAACCCTTGAATGAGTAGGTGTTCTAAAACTTTTGACCGGTAGTTTAAGTGTGGCATCCCTCTGACTCACAGAAACCTCACAATAATATGAGGACTGAGGAGTACTAGAGTAGCTGTTGAGGAAGTAACTGCTTATGGGAATCCAAATAAACAAGACTTATATGCATTTCTCCTGTACTGTCTCATTGCTTCGCGACACATGAAGAGCCTGGTCTTTCACACACAATTGAGTGGTCTTTCCTGCCGCACCAGAGAGGTCCCTGGTTAGATTTGGCGCCTCTCTGCTCCCGTCCTCTGTATTGCTCTGCTCTGATGAATAAGAACTTCGGGGGTCTTGGACAGAGGAAGTGCGGAACCCAAACTGCTCTCCTGTGTGATGGCAGCTTCCTGTGTACGTCTCACTTCCCTCGGCCAGGTAGAGAAGGGTCTGAGAGGTGCTGGAAACTTCCCTCAGCTCGCGGGACACCAGTGAGGGTGACTCTCTAGAGGAGATGAAGGAGGGGAGCTGGTGTGCATCCATGCAGTGGCAGTTCTGTCTCTGCTGCCTCGATGCTCCTATCTTACAGAACAGACACTTGATCTGCTCAATGAGCTTGAGGAGCATGGCCTTGCGGAGGAGGATGTAGATCCAGGGGTCCAGGATGGGGTTGAAGGAAGCGAAGCGGATTGCCCGCAGATCTGGGTTCTTTTCCAGTCTCAGCTCCACAGGAGTCTTATACAGCTGGTTCAGAAACACCTGCACCTGCAAGGGAGAGATAATTAATGGAATTGAATAACTTTATTTTGCCCAGCTGAATTGAATTGACATTGATATTTATGTTTTATACAGCTTGCTGACACCTGCAAGGTAAATTGAATTGAATCTGATTGAAGTGTGTGTGTGTGTGTGTGTACGTGTGCGCGTGCGCGCGTGCTTGTGCTCGTGATGCATTGCCAAATTGCTCAACAAATCACGACTAACCATTTTAAAGATCTAGTTGTCTGAATGCACACCTGTCCTTATGGAGACTGATTTGAGCAGTGTACAAAGCAGAATATGCAATATAGGCCTACACTACTATGCGCATAAGCTATGAGTAAACTATTCTAATGTCATGTTGGGACTATTAACAACTCATGGAGGAAACAACTAAATCTTTTTTAAATTCACAACGATGTACAGGCGTAAAATATAAAATCGTGTGTAAATGTGAATATTGTGCGTAAATAATTAAAATGGTATTTGTGCTAATAGGAAAAGGAGTAAAATGTTTCACAAAGTGAGAAGACAAACGTACAACTAGTGGAATTGAGCATATGAGCACCACCGCTGAGGTGCAGATGAGTACAATCACCATCTGGATCTCCGCGCCTGCCAGATGCCCGAAGTTGCGTCTCCTTCTTGGGTCTGTGTTCCGCCCTGGGTCTGTCCCCAAGGACATCCTCCGAACGAACTGCCGGTGCATCCGGATCAAAGCCCCGCACACCAGAACGTTACAGATCACCGTGGCCAGAATTAGAATCGAACTGAACCCCGCGTACATGTAAGAAAAGGCGGCATCAGTACTCACGTTGCTCCGCCAATCTATGAAGCACCAGGTTTGTGGGTACTGCTTTTTGACTTGTCCCAGACCCATGCTAGGCAGAGCGCAGAAAAGCGCGTTTGGAGATGTAGATAGCCAGAAGAGTCAACCCCGCCAGTCTCTGATCCACATAGTCGTTGTAAAAATACGCATGATTTATCGCCAAGTATCTCTCCACGGACATTGCGCATATTATGCTGAGCCCCGCTAAAGAGAAGAAGAGGAGGATGAATCCGAAATACTGGCAGAGTGGGTCCCCACCTGGCCAAGATCCTTTCACGTAAGTGGCGATGGTGACTGGACTGGCCAGGAGGGTCCCCAAAAGGTCCGTAACAGCCAGACCGCAAACCAGCGTGTAGAACGTGGTCTCCTTATGCTCTTTCCTGGACTTGCAGAGCACCACGATGGCGATGACATTTCCCACCACTCCGAAAATAAACATGATGGAAGGTATAGTCGGGACCATGGTCCTCCCGGTCACAGTATTGTTACTCATTTTAGTATGTCCAGAATTTTAAAATAGAAAATACTTCATTCACATTATAAGCTATCCTTCATTTTTTACAAGGAAAGAATACTGTAGATGCTTTAGGCCTATTATCTACATAAATTAAAGTTATCAAACATGATTGAAATATTCATGCTGAATGTGTGCTGAACCGATCTACTCACAACTGAAGTTAGAACGCCTTTAAAACGGTTGTTTAAGAGTTCAGTTGATTTTGCCGAAGTATCTGTAAGGGACAGTTCGAAAATTACTTGGGGTGGGGGTGGGGGGGGGGGGGGGGGGGGGGTCTTAACTTTTCTTTGCTTTGGGGAGGGCTGTGTAGTTTATTTGGAGGCACAGGGGAGGGTAGTACGTTTTTTTCCTGGTTTACATTCACTCTTTTTCAGGTTTTACTATATTATTTATTCCATCCTAGACAAATTTCCTAATCTGCTTGCATTGCGCCTCCCCTATCAAGGTGTTTTGGAACTTCCCATATGCACTATGCTTTTCCACTTGCTAACTATACGACAGGTCAATATAGTCTACCAATCTAACTGTCTATTCATTGTGACAATAGTGGTAGGTGGATCGTTTGTCCAGATCTGCAATAGGCTAACTAGCAATCATACCACACATAAAATCATTCAAAGATGCACCAATTTTCAATATAAATCCACAATAACAAGGGATAATAGCTGATAGGCAGTGAAGAGGCCAGGTGAGTCAATGCACATGAGACATGCAGTACAAAAAGCTCCCCTATTGATCTTGTTTAGGGACAATACAATTATCTAGACTAGCCTACAACACCACAATGCAATTCATAATTGCATTATTGTTTTTAAGTGAGTACAACATGATATGTTAGGCTGTAAACTGCAGTGAAAATGTCATTTGAATAACGGTGCAAAAAATGGCAGAATGTGAAGTACAACATAGAACAAATTGCAGTGAACGTTTAAAAGGAGAGGAAGTGCAGTGAACGTTTAAAAGGAGAGAAAGTGCAGTGAACGTTTAAAAGGAGAGGAAGTCCAGTGCGATGGTGTGATCAACTATGACGGATGATAATGAATCAATATATTATTGCACTGATGTATTGCGGACACAGGACAGGCAGAGAGATGAGCACATTGAAAAATACCATCCTAACATTGAGTCCTGCCCCCCGGCCCTGCCCCCTTCTTTTGCGCTCGGTCGGGACCACCATTTGGACTGGTCTAAATTGCTGGTTAGGGCATTGGGTGGGGGTATTCCGATGAGTTGGTTCTGGGGCTGTTGGAACCAAATCTGATTATTGTCTGTTGTATTTAATTTGAGCTTTAGAAGTAGTCAGTACCTCTTAGAAGTAGTTTGCTGCTTAAAGTAAAAATCCACAAAAAAACGACATATTGGTATTTTTTTAAATTAGTCTTCTGTTGATACAGTCCAAAAATGTTTTGCATATGTCAGCAGTCAGGTTTTCAAGATATTGGACTTTCAAGAAGCAAAGTGTCACCTGCCACATAAATCAAATCAAATCAAATTTTATTGGTCACATACACGTGTTTAGCAGATGTTATTGCGGGTGTAGCGAAATGCTTGTTTCTAGCTCCAACAGTGCAGTATATCTAACAACTAATATCTACCAATTTCACAACATATACCCAATACAAAGGAGATGATTGTGGACTACAGGAAAAAAAAAGAGGACTGAGCACGCCCCCATTCTCATCGACGGGGCTGTAGTGGAACAGGTTGAGAGCTTCAAGTTCCTTGGTGTCCACATCACCAACGAACTATCATGGTCCAAACACACCAAGACAGTCGTGAAGAGGGCACGACAAAGCCTATTCCCCCTCAGGAGACTAAAAAGATTTGGCATGGGTCCTCAGATCCTCAAAAAATTCTACAGCTGCACCATGGAGAGCATCCTGACTGGTTGCATCACCGCCTGGTATGGCAACTGCTTGGCCTCCGACCGCAAGGCACTACAGAGGGTAGTGCGTACGGCCCAGTACATCACTGGGGCAAAGCTTCCTGCCATCCAGGACCTCTATACCAGGCGGTGTCAGAGGAAGGCCCTCAAAATTGTCAAAGACTCCAGCCACCCTAGTCATAGACTGTTCTCTCTGCTACCGCACGGCAAGCGGTACCGGAGTGCCAAGTCTAGGTCCAAAAGACTTCTCAACAGCTTCTACCCCCAAGCCATAAGACTCCTGAACAGCTAATCATGGCTACCCGGACTATTTGCACTGCCCCCCCACCCCATCCTTTTTACGCTGCTGCTACTCTGTTAAGTATTTATGCATAGTCACTTTAACTCTACCCACATGTACATATTACCTCAACTACCTCAACTAGCCGGTGCCCCCGCACATTGACTCTGCAACGGTACCCCCCTGTATATATAGCCTCCCTACTGTCACTTTATTTTACTTCTGCTCTCTTTTTTCTCAACACTTTTTTTGTTGTTGTTTTATTTTTACTTTTTTTGTTTAAAATAAATGCACTGTTGGTTAAGGGCTGTAAGTAAGCATTTCATTGTAATGTCTGCACCTGTTGTATTCGGCGCATGTGACCAATAAAATTTGATTTGATTTGATACACACAAATCTAAATAAAGCAATGGAATTAAGAATATATAAATAAATATATGGACGAGCAATGTCAGAGCGGCATCGACTAAGATGCAGTAGAATAGTATAGAATACAGTAATACAAGATATGTAAACATTATTAAAGTGACTAGTGTTCCATTTATTAAAGTGGCCAGTGATTTCTAATCTATGTATATAGGCAGCAGCCTCTAATGTGCTAGTGAAGGCTATTTAACAGTCTGATGGCCTTGAGATAGAAGCAGTTTTTCAGTCTCTCGGTCACAGCTTTGATGCACCTGTACTAACCTCGCCTTCTGGATGATAGCGGGGTGAACAGGCAGTGGCTCGGGTGGTTGTGGTCCTTGATTATATATTTGGCCTTCCTGTGACATCAGGTGCTGTAGGTGTCCTGGAGGGCTGGTAGTTTGCCCCCGGTGATGCGTTGGGCAGACCGCAACACCCTCTGGAGAGCCCTGCGGTTGCGGGCGGTGCAGTCGCCGTACCAGGCGGTGATATAGTTGAGGAACAGCGAAGTGGAGGTGTTGTTTCCTACCTTCACCACCTGGGGGCGGCCCGTCAGGAAGTCCAGGACCCAGTTGCACAAGGTGGGGTTCAAACCCAGGGCCTCAAGCTTAATGATGAGCTTGGAGGGTACTATGGTGTTGAATGCTGAGCTATAGGAAATGAACAGCATTCTTACATAGGTATTCCTCTTGTCCAGATGGGATAGGGCAGTGTGCAGTGTGATGGCGATTGCATCGTCTGTGGATCTATTGGGGTGGTAAGCAAATTGAAGTGGGTCTAGGGTGGCAGGTAAGGTAGAGGTGATATGATCCTTGACTAGTCTCTCAAAGCACTTCATGATGACAGACGTGAGTTCCATGGGCGATAGTCATTTAGTTCAGTTACCGTTGCTTTCTTGGGTACAGGGACAATGGTGGCCATCTTGAGCATGTGGGGACAGCAGACTGGGATAGGGAGAGATTTAATATGTCCGTAAACACACCAGCCAGCTGGTCTGCGCATGCTCTGAGGATGCGGCTAGGGATGCCATCTGGGCCGGCAGCCTTGCGAGGGTTAACACGCTTAAATGTCTTACTCACGTCGGCCACGGAGAAGGAGAGCCCACAGTCCTTGGTAGCGGGCCACGTCGGTGGCACTGTATTATCCTCAAAGTGGGCGAAGAAGGTGTCTGGCTTGTCCGGAAGCAAGATGTCGGTGTCTGCGACGTGGCTGGTTTTCCTTTTGTAGTCCGTGATTGTCTGTAGACCCTGACACATGCGTCTTGTGTCTGAGCCGTTGAATTGCGACTCCACTTTGTCCCTATACTGATGTTTTGCCTGTTTGATTGACATTTGATTGACAGAGGGAACAACTATACTGTTTGTATTCTGCCATATTCCCAGTCACCTTGCCATGGTTAAATTTGGGGGTTCACACTTTCAGTTTTGTGCGAATGCTGCCATCTATCCACGGTTTCTGGTTAGGGTAGGTTTTAATAGTCACAGTGGGCACAACATCTCCTATACACTTCCTGATAAACTCAGTCACCGTATCAGTATATACGTCGATGTTATTCTCTGAAGCTACCCGGAACACATCCCAGTCCGTGTGATCAAAACAATCTTGAAGCGTGGATTCCGATTGGTCAGACCAGCGTTGAATAGTCCTTCGCACGAGTACTTCCTGTTTGAGTTTCTTCCTATAGGAAGGGAGGAGAAAAATTGAGTCGTGGTCAGATTTGCCGAAAGGAGGGCGGGGGAGGGCCTTGTATGCATCCCGGAAGTTGGAGTAGCAGTGGTCGAGTGTTTTAGCAGCGCGAGTACTACAGTCGATGTGTTGATAGAACTTCGGGAGCCTTTTCCTCAAATTTGCTTTGTTAAAATCCCCAGCTACAATAAATGCAGCCTCAGGATATGTGGTTTCCAGTCTGCATAAAATCCAGTGAAGTTCTTTGAGGGCCGTCGTGGTATCAACTTGAGGGGGAATATACACGGCCGTGACTATAACCGAAGAAAATTCTCTTGGGAGATAATATGGTCGGCATTTGATTGTGAGGGATTCTAGGTCGGGTGAACAAAAGGACTTGAGTTCCTGTATGTTATCACAATTACACCATGAGTCGTTAATCATAAAACATACACCTCTGCCCTTCTGCTTCCCGGAGAGATATTTATTCCTGTCTGCGCGATGAACTGAGAACCCAACTGGCTGGACCGACTCGGACAGTATATCCCGAGAGAGCCATGTTTCCGTGAAACAGAGTATATTACAATCCCTGATGTCTCTCTGGAAAGAAACCCTCGCCCTGAGCTCGTCAACTTTATTATCCAGAGACTGAACATTATCGAGTAATATACTCGGAAGCGGTGGGTGGTGTGCACGCCTCCTAAGTCGGAC